ATGTCGTAAAATGTGGTGAACCCATCGCTGATTTGCTCCAAAGCAAATATTGGCCTTTCTAGTTTAAATGGATTCAGCTTCTTCATTTTAGGGCCCAAGGTCCTGAAATTTGGTATGGAGGTACAGTGGGCAAATACCCCTAGGCGTTTTTTAAATTATTGTGATACAGGCTTTTAGAATGGTTTTATTTGAGTTTTTTGGCTGTGTTATAGCAAATGTATACCTAGTCCGTTAGTGTGCCTTGTTTACCACGTTTGGGCATGAGTCATCACAATGGAATGCAGGGCATCAACCAATAGGCATGCAGCTTTCCTCTATACTTCTTGCTGATTGGCTGTTGGGATTTAACTTGATTAACACCTGCACAGAGCATTTCCACCCGCACAGAGCATTTCTTGCTGATTGGCTGTTGGGATTTAACTTGATTAACACCTGCACAGAGCATTTCCATACTGACAGTATGTCTGTATTCAAGTGTTTTGGTAGGTATTTCAAGCTTTCCTGCTCCAGCATTGGAATGCGGGGCATGGACGTTTTTTTTATTTTGAAAATCAACAGTTTGCATTATGCAATTAAAAATCCTAACCAATAAAGTAGGGAATAGCTATCCAACTGTTGTTTTAGTTGTATTTTACTTCATATTATAGTTATATCAATGTAAATCATTGTTTTCCCTTGTGTTTCTCATTCTTTCCCTGCCATGTCGTAAAATGTGGTGAACCCATCGCTGTATTTGCTCCAAAGCAAATATTGGCCTTTCTAGTTTCATGTTAAGTTTGTTGACTTACCGACACAGAAGGCGAATCCTGTCATGATGCCCAGACGCTTGAGCTGGTTACTAGGTGAGTTCTCCGTCACTCCCAGCCACACCAGCAGCCCGATGGAGGCAATAGCAGACAGGAAACCTCCCTGCAGAAACAAATCATCACTGAACTGCACTTCTTGTTCCGCCGCTCAGAACCTTTCAGCGTGCCACTAGGTTCTCTTCCATTTCTCATCAATACACCGTTAACATACCTGTCTCCAAGTCATTTTACAACAACAGCTTCTTTCCCCGGACTGCAAAATCATGGAACTCTCTTCCAAACAGTTGCTTCCCGTTTGACTACAATCTACAAAGCTTCAAAACAAAGGTCCACCGCCATCTCCTGACATAACTACATTATACTCACTTAAGTACCTCTAGCTCTATGCCTAGAAGTGGCCAAAAATAACTGGCCTTGCATTGAGAGAGGCCATATACATCAGGGCACTTCAACCATCGCTCAACCGGGACAGGGGGCGATATCGACTTCAGACAACCCTTGACCCTTTGCTGACATCACACGTGGGAAAAATCACATGTCCACAGCATTTGGGTCAGATAGCTGAGGAAGACTGAGTGATTCAGTCAAAAGATTCCGGTGAGTCAAATTTATGAATTTAACATTTTCATACACATCTGGAGATGTTCTGGACAAATTCTCTGAACAGTCAGATGTTTGAGATAGCATCTGCTATGTTTTATCAGTGACAGAGAAGAGTCTGAAGACAAGTGTAACCTGCACACTGAATGAGTGTCTGAATTGATATGTAAATAACTGAGAAAAATCAAGTAGGTCCTGTTGTGTCTGAGGAAGGCAGAGTCCAGTCAAATCTACTGAATTTTTCATATAAAGGTTACACTTCACTTCTTCAGACTCATTTTCAGTCTTTGATGAGAGAATTTACCCATCTGCTTGACCTATTTTGCATTATGTAATGTTCTACCCAGATGTCATGTTTAACATTACAATACAAAACATTCAGCACCAAGGACAGGTTCTATATCTTACATGTATTCAAAAAGTGCAGCTCAGAAGCTTTTAAAGTATGACTTAGAACATGGCTTGTTCAGACCTATATTTCCTCCATCTACATGTATTTCAATTCATATAGTAAAGTGTAGTTAGTACTGTAGTATGGTGTACTGAAGCACCTGGAAGGTCTCGGACCGGAGTTTTTTTCACAATTTTGGATCCGGCAGACACCCTCAGACCGAAGGGCTATAACTCCGCCAAAAAAATACGCCGGGAAATCTCATTACATCAGTCAACGGAGGTTTCCAGCCGGCTTCCGATAGAATTTTGGTTATTGTCCGTCGACTCTATAATTTGGGTAGAAAATGTAGTTAAACGTAAATTTTGGATACGAAAAATATAGTTTTTTGGCAGTTTTTTAAACGGACCTGTTTGGAAAAAACAAATTTTCCCAGGCTAACGGCTTATATGCTGAAATAGCTTACTACTTCCTGTTTCTGAAAAACGGAAAAAAAATATAGGTTGTTGCGATAAGTTTTTCGCAAAATCCGGTGACGCGACTGCCTTAAAATTCCACATAGAACGCAGCTATTTGGGTCATCAGGCGACAAACCGCATCACCCTTGCTCGCGGACTAATACCAAAAACGCTTCGCTGGCCGTCCAACTTCACCGCGCCAAAAAACACTACAATCCCAAGGTTTTTTGATCAATTCAAAACCTACTTGAAAATCTACAACGATCACCGAGCTATGGGGAGCCAAACCTAGCGTGACAACCTCGCAGATCCGGCGGTTTACTGCGCACTATTTGGAACCCTGGTCAGATTTAAACTCCGACCCGGAACCAGAAGTGCTTTTTATATATATAACCTGTATAGTGTAACCATCATTAGCGTCTAAGACTTAGTTTTCATTCACATTATCAATATGTCCAACATTACCATGAATAATAATTGCTGTCATTCTTTTAAC